TAGCTGTCGGAGGCGTGGACAGGGCCGTGGTCCTTGATGCCTTGAGTAGTGGTGGCGGGGGTTTGTTTTTGGTGTTCGTTGTAGAATCGAGAACGGAGTCCCCGTAGTGTTTCGTCCTCACGCAACGCAAAATGAGAAATCGAAATAAAGAAGTTGAAAAAAAAAAAAGTTCGTTGTTAAATAGCGACTTCAAATGGATGTCGCTATCAGCACAGTACACGCAATGGGACGAATCAAAAAACAAAAATGAAAATAAAAATAAAAAATAACAGAAAATAAGAAACAAAAAACAAAAAAAACACAAAAAAAACACCTCTCCAGGTATTCTGTAGGAGTGATTTCGCCGGGGCGCCGCTATATATGCCCGCGTGTATGTGGATAACCTATGTGTTCCGCAGTTGCGCCACTTTCTCTGCTTGCGACGGTAGGCCACGGACGATTCTTTGTGGTGCACGTGCGGGGGTCGACATCCTGGAGAGAGAGAGAGAGAGAGAGAGAGAGAGAGAGAGAGAGAGAGAGAGAGAGAGAGAGAGAGAGAGAGAGAGATGGCGGTGCAGCTGGCATGGAGGGAAATTGTGAGGGGCCAGGCGATCATGTTTTGGGGCGCGGCGAGGAGAATGGGAGGGCCTTTTTCCGCGTAAACTCCCATTCGGACCCGAAATCACTCGACGTTCATTCCGCTTGTACTCCGTGGATGTCGACGGAAAGGCCGCCGTCGATTTGGAGGTCGCACTGGGGTTCAACAAGCGGCTGTTGTCGCACTTCCTGTTATGGGTGAAGAAGACAGGGGATGCGGTGCCCGACAATTGGGCAGATCTCGAAGTGGACATCGTCGGTGACATCGTCACCTGCTTCATTGACAACCTCGCCATGGAACATGCGAGCAGGCTCGACATGGGGCCATTTTATCACACGTTCATGGTCCCCCTCTTGTCGGCCGCGGCTATCTCCATGGCGAGATTCGGTTGTGAGATTGTTCGGCGCTACGGTGTTGCGCCACGTGTCAGTGCAGCATGTGATCGAAGTGGAAGGCGGAACCGGATTCGCTGGATCGATTGAATGGCTGCGCCGGTTCAAAGTCTTGGCGGGTGGAAGACTGCTGCGCGGTGACGTGGTGATTGTCTCCGAAGTTTTGCGGCGCACTGTTGTTTGCCACGTCAGCATCTGATGGACAGGCCGACGGGGCGATTGTTTGATTGCGTAGGCTATGATGTTCGGGCAAGGGCGACATGGTCGTTGTCACTGTTGTTTTGCGGCGCACTGTTGTTTGCCTGTTCAGCAAGGTCGGCGGTCATAATCCGCTGGACACATGCGAGGTTTGAGGACGCGGCACGTCCTTCGCAGTCCTGGTTTGGGGATTTTTGAAGACGATGGATGGTGACATGTCAACGTCGGCAATGTCGTTCGCACGGGAGGGGGGAATTTGGATGGTAGTGTCTTCATTGTGCAAGTGTTTTGGGAGTGTCGGGGGTAGGGCTGGATCGCGGGGGGCTATTAAAGGGGTTTTGTTGGGGGCGGTGGTGGAAGTTAGGGATTGCTTGCCGTGAGTTTTGTTTCTTTTTGTCGCCATTGTTTTTTTTTTTTTCCCGGTTACGTGACGTTGGTTGCTGTGCGTCGTTGGATGACAGTGATGACAATCTTTGGTTTGTTGTTAGACAACGGTTGTAATGAAGCGCTGAAGCCGATTGTATGCAGTCTTTTGTTGGAGTTCTGTCACTTTTCTTCACACACACACACACACACACACACACACACACACACACACACACACACACTACGTGAAATGTTCATTGCCGTTTGTAGTGTTTCCTTTGATGTGTGTTCATTTCCAAGACTTAAAACATTGCGGACATTGGAAAGGGGGTTATCGCCTTTCATATTTGTGTGTGTGTGTGTGTGTGTGTGTGTGTGTGTGTGTGTGTGTGTGTGTGTGTGTGCGTGTGTGTGCGGAAAAGAAAAAAACGAAGCCAATATCACATTCGAACAGCGAATACCATTTATTGTGTTTCCTTTAATGTTTGTTAATTTCAAACACTGCAAATATAGAAGTGTCCCTGTGGTACACACACACACA